GCTTCCATCATTTTCAATGGTCAGTTCAGTGTTCAAGCTGCATGGAGAATCATATTATACAAATCTACTCTGCTACTGCTCCATTGCATTGTATGAGCAATCTGTGTGGATTGTTCATCAGGGAATGCCTTGGTTTTACTTAGGCCCATAGATAGAGAAGTGATGCAACATAGGATTGGATCGGTGTGCGAGAATTTGGTTGTTACCGTTCAAAGCGAAAGCGAAAGCCGAAGCCAATTTGGGGACTGTGCTATATCATGTATTGTATATGTTGAACAAAGCGATGAGACCCATATCGCATAGCCTTGTGGTTTGGGTGTTCGACTGACATTCGTTCACCCCAACCCTTGTTCGTGTCCTCGTGTGGGCTCTGTCCATGTGCAATGCTCACGAATCCCTTAGCGGATCAAACAGCTGTACAGTGCTTCCATCATTTTCAATGGTCAGTTCAGTGTTCAAGCTGCATGGAGAATCATATTATACAAATCTACTCTGCTACTGCTCTATTGCATTGTATGAGCAATCTGTGTGTGGATTGTTCATAAGGGAATGCCTTGGTTTTACTTAGGCCCATAAATAGAGAAGTGATGGAACATAGGATTGGATCGGTGTGCGAGAATTTGGTTGTTACCGTTCAAAGCGAAAGCGAAAGCCGAAGCCAATTTGGGGACTGTGCTATATCATGTATTGTATATGTTGAACAAAGCGATGAGACCCACATCGCATAGCCTTGTGGTTTGGGTGTTCGACTGACAATTGTTCACCCCAACCCTTGTTCGTGTCCCCGTGTGGGCTCTGTCCATGTGCAATGCTCATGATTCCCTTGGCGGATCAAACAGCTGTACAGTGCTTCCATCATTTTCAATGGTCAGTTCAGTGTTCAAGCTGCATGGAGAATCATATTATACAAATCTACTCTGCTACTGCTCCATTGCATTGTATGAGCAATCTGTGTGGATTGTTCATCAGGGAATGCCTTGGTTTTACTTAGGCCCATAAATAGAGAAGTGATGGAACATAGGATTGGATCGGTGAGCGAGAATTTGGTTGTTACCGTTCAAAGCGAAAGCGAAAGCCGAAGCCAATTTGGGGATTGTGCTATATCATGTAGTGTATATGTTGAACAAAGCCTTCAGACCCATATCGGATAGCCTTGTGGTTTGTGTGTTCGACTGACATTCGTTCACCCCAACCCTTGTTCGTGTCCCCGTGTGGGCTCTGTCCATGTGCAATGCTCATGATTCCCTTAGCGGATCAAACAGCTGTACAGTGCTTCCATCATTTTCAATGGTCAGTTCAGTGTTCAAGCTGCATGGAGAATCATATTATACAAATCTACTCTGCTACTGCTCCATGGCATTGTATGAGCAATCTGTGTGGATTGTTCATAAGGGAATGCCTTGGTTTTACTTAGGCCCATAAATAGAGAAGTGATGGAACATAGGATTGGATCGGTGTGCGAGAATTTGGTTGTTACCGTTCAAAGCGAAAGCGAAAGCCGAAGCCAATTTGGGGATTGTGCTATATCATGTATTGTATATGTTGAACAAAGCTTTCAGACCCATATATGATAGCCCTGTGGTTTGGGTGTTCGACTGACAATCGTTCACCCCAACCCTTGTTCGTGTCCTCGTGTGGTCTCTGTCCATGTGCAATGCTCACGAATCCCTTAGCGGATCAAACAGCTGTACAGTGCTTCCATCATTTTCAATGGTCAGTTCAGTGTTCAAGCTGCATGGAGAATCATATTATACAAATCTACTCTGCTACTGCTCTATTGCATTGTATGAGCAATCTGTGTGGGGATTGTTCATAAGGGAATGCCTTGGTTTTACTTAGGCCCATAAATAGAGAATTGATGGAACATAGGATTGGATCTTTGTGCGAGAATTTGGTTGTTACCGTTCAAAGCGAAAGCGAAAGCCGAAGCCAATTTTGGGATAGTGCTATATCATGTAGTGTGAATGTTGAACAAAGCGTTCAGACCCATATCGTATAGCCTTGTGGTTTGGGTGTTCGACTGACAATCGTTCACCCCAACCCTTGTTCGTGTCCCCGTGTGGGCTCTGTCCATGTGCAATGCTCATGATTCCCTTAGCAGGTCAAAGAGCTGAACAGTGCTTCCATAATTTTCAATGGTCAGTTCAGTGTTCAAGCTGCATGGAGAATCATATTATAGAAATCTACTCTGCTACTGCTCTATTGCATTGTACGAGCAATCTGTGTGGATTGTTCATAAGGGAATGCCTTGGTTTTACTTAGGCCCATATGAATAGAGAAGTGATGGAACATAGGATTGGATCGGTGTGCGAGAATTTGGTTGTTACCGTTCAAAGCGAAAGCGAAAGCCGAAGCCAATTTGGGGATTCTTCCATATCATGTAGTGTATATGTTGAACAAAGCGATGAGACCCATATCGCATAGCCTTGTGGTTTGGGTGTTCGACTGACAATTGTTCACCCCAACCCTTGTTCGTGTCCCCGTGTGGGCTCTGTCCATGTGCAATGCTCATGATTCCCTTGGCGGATCAAACAGCTGTACAGTGCTTCCATAATTTTCAATGGTCAGTTCAGTGTTCAAGCTGCATGGAGAATCATATTATACAAATCTACTCTGCTACTGCTCCATTGCATTGTATGAGCAATCTGTGTGGATTGTTCATCAGGGAATGCCTTGGTTTTACTTAGGCCCATAAATAGAGAAAAGATGGAACATAGGATTGGATCGGTGAGCGAGAATTTGGTTGTTACCGTTCAAAGCGAAAGCGAAAGCCGAAGCCAATTTGGGGATTGTGCTATATCATGTAGTGTATATGTTGAACAAAGCGTTAAGACCCATATCGGATAGCCTTGTGGTTTGTGTGTTCGACTGACAATCGTTTACCCCAACCCTTGTTCGTGTCCCCGTGTGGGCTCTGTCCATGTGCAATGCTCATGATTCCCTTAGCGGATCAAACAGCTGTACAGTGCTTCCATCATTTTCAATGGTCAGTTCAGTGTTCAAGCTGCATGGAGAATCATATTATACAAATCTACTCTGCTACTGCTCCATTGCATTGTATGAGCAATCTGTGTGGATTGTTCATAAGGGAATGCCTTGGTTTTACTTAGGCCCATAAATAGAGAAGTGATGGAACATAGGATTGGATCGGTGTGCGAGAATTTGGTTGTTACCGTTCAAAGCGAAAGCGAAAGCCGAAGCCAATTTGGGGATTGTGCTATATCATGTATTGTATATGTTGAACAAAGCTTTCAGACCCATATATGATAGCCTTGTGGTTTGGGTGTTCGACTGACAATCGTTCACCCCAACCCTTGTTCGTGTCCTCGTGTGGTCTCTGTCCATGTGCAATGCTCAAGAATCCCTTAGCGGATCAAACAGCTGTACAGTGCTTCCATCATTTTCAATGGTCAGTTCAGTGTTCAAGCTGCATGGAGAATCATATTATACAAATCTACTCTGCTACTGCTCTATTACATTGTATGAGCAATCTGTGTGGGGATTGTTCATAAGGGAATGCCTTGGTTTTACTTAGGCCCATAAATAGAGAATTGATGGAACATAGGATTGGATCTTTGTGCGAGAATTTGGTTGTTACCGTTTAAAGCGAAAGCGAAAGCCGAAGCCAATTTTGGGATAGTGCTATATCATGTAGTGTGAATGTTGAACAAAGCGTTCAGACCCATATCGTATAGCCTTGTGGTTTGGGTGTTCGACTGACAATCGTTCACCCCAACCCTTGTTCGTGTCCTCGTGTGGGCTCTGTCCATGTGCAATGCTCATGATTCCCTTGGCGGATCAAACAGCTGTACAGTGCTTCCATAATTTTCAATGGTCAGTCCAGTGTTCAAGCTGCATGGAGAATCATATTATACAAATCTACTCTGCTACTGCTCTATTGCATTGTACGAGCAATCTGTGTGGATTGTTCATAAGGGAATGCCTTGGTTTTACTTAGGCCCATAAATAGAGAAGTGATGGAACATAGGATTGGATCGGTGTGCGAGAATTTGGTTGTTACCGTTCAAAGCGAAAGCGAAAGCCGAAGCCAATTTGGGGATTCTTCCATATCATGTAGTGTATATGTTGAATAAAGCAATGAGACCCACATCGCATAGCCTTGTGGTTTGGGTGTTCGACTGACAATCGTTCACCCCAACCCTTGTTCGTGTCCCCGTGTGGGCTTTGTCCATGTGCAATGCTCATGATTCCCTTAGCGGATCAAACAGCTGTACAGTGCTTCCATAATTTTCAATGGTCAGTTCAGTGTTCAAGCTGCATGGAGAATCATATTATAGAAATCTACTCTGCTACTGCTCTATTGCATTGTATGAGCAATCTGTGTGGATTGTTCATAAGGGAATGCCTTCGTTTTACTTAGGCCCATATAAATAGAGAAGTGGTGGAACATAGGATTGGATCGGTGTGCGAGAATTTGGTTGTTACCGTTCAAAGCGAAAGCGAAAGCCGAAGCCAATTTGGGGATTGTGCTATATCATGTATTGTATATGTTGAACAAAGCGTTGAGACCCATATCGGATAGCATTGTGGCTTGGGTGTTCGGCTGACAATCGTTCACCCCAACCCTTGTTCGTGTCCCCGTGTGGGCTCTGTCCATGTGCAATGCTCATGATTCCCTTGGCGGATCAAACAGCTGTACAGTGCTTCCATAATTTGCAATGGTCAGTCCAGTGTTCAAGCTGCATGGAGAATCATATTATACAAATCTACACTGCTACTGCTCCATTGCATTGTATGAGCAATCTGTGTGGATTGTTCATAAGGGAATGCCTTGGTTTTACTTAGGCCCATATAAGTAGAGAAAAGATGGAACATAGGATTGGATCGGTGTGCGAGAATTTGGTTGTTACCGTTCAAAGCGAAAGCGAAAGCCGAAGCCAATTTGGGGATTGTGCTATTGTAACAAGGACGACAACGCACGGCAGGATACTTGTATTCCCACGGTCACACAAGTCCAGTCATGGCACACATACAGTCGCTTATATAGGCTTTTTTCCAGACTGCGCGGCACCAAGATTTCTATTGTCGCTGCTTGAGCGCTTCGGCTGCATTCTGTCCATTTGCCTGTGGCCGATGGCTTGCTTCTCTTGCCCGTCATTTCCCTTCGGTTGGTCCGACTGTCTCAGTTGACGGCTCGATCGGCAGCCCTTCACCTGAGCTATCTTGCTGGTTGCCGGAGGTCCCGCTGCTTCCTCTCTGGTCGTCTGTGTGCTTCTTTTTGCCTGCTTCGGGACGCCTCCGACATATTCGCCACCTGTTCTCTTGTCTGTGGCCCTTGTTTGGTTCGTTCGTTCGCCTTGATGTTTACGCCGTTCCCTGGCCCCAGCATTCCCTGTTACACTCGCCCTTCCTTTGAAACATTCGGTCCGGACGTGCCAGGGTGCCAAGTCGCATCCGTTCACCCATTTGCCTCGTGGTCCTTGATCGATTTTGAAACTGGAATTCTTCCTCTCCAATACGGTGTAGGGTCCACTCCATCGTTTGTGGAACTTGCTAGCCCCCGGACCGGCCACTGCGGGTCTGTTACGATTCCTTACTTTTACCAGCTGTCCGGACATGAACGGATCCCATTTCTGTGTTTGGTTCCGTCTATCGTACCTTGCCTTGTTACGACTCTGAGCAATTCTTGTCTGTTGTACGGCCACTTTCTCTAGATGCCTCCGCTCGCGGGTTGTCAGAGGTTTATCATTCTTCATGTTGAGCCACACATCCAGTCGCGTTCTAGGTTCCTGCCCAAAAACCAGTTCAAACGGTGTCGTCCCCGTTGTTGAATGGCTCGTTGCGCGGTAACTGAGTAATATCTCCGACAGTCCTTCTTGCCAATCACTTCCGTGGTTATTTAGCCACTCCTTCAGCGTTCTGTTGAATCTTTCCGTCATTCCGTTTGCCTGGGGGTGGTAAGGCGACGTTCGTATTCGCCGGATCCTCCATTGTTCCAACATGTCTCGAAATTTCTTCGATTCGAAGCAGGGACCCTGGTCAGTGATGACCGTTTCTGGTACACCAAATCGCGCCACGACATTATCGACAAATACTCGAGAGACCGTATCGCCTGTTTGATCCGGTATCGGGATTGCTTCCACCCAGCGAGACACGTGGTCAACCATTGTCATGATGTACCGGTTTCCAGTAACACTCACAGGTAAAGGACCAAAAATGTCCAAACCCCAGCTTTGAAAGACTCGCTGTGCTTCTATGGGCTGCATTGGCGGTGTAGCTGTTGCGTGCTCCCGGTTCCGTTGACAATCGGGGCAAGTTCGTATGTAGTCGTCAACGTCGTGCCGCATCGTGGGCCAGAAGACTCTGCGCCGCAACAATTCGAGGACTCGTTGTTGTCCTATGTGAGCACTGTCGTGCGCTAGCTGTATTGCCTGCTCACGTACGGCCTCGGGAACAAAAGGCAGTCGTCTGGGTCGCAGACCCTGTCCCACATCAACGTCAACGAACAGCTTGCCATCTTCCGCATGCAATCGCTCCCAAATTTTTAGTAGGTCGCGCACTGCAGGTGAGCTCCCGTCTGGTCTTGTTTTGGCTTGAAGATGTGAACAAACCGTCCGCACCAGACTGTCATTTCTTTGGTGGCTGAAAACACCCTCATTTGACATTAGCCGATTCACTGGGATCGCCTCCGCCGGCAGTTGGTCGTCTGGGATCGGGCGGGATAATGCGTCAGGTATTTCGTTTTCTCGTCCGCTAACATGCTCGATTGTAAAGGTGAATTCTTGCAGGCGGTACGCCCACCGTGCCAACCTCCCTCTTGGATCTCTTGTTGTCATCAACCACGTCAATGGCTTGTGATCCGTTTTGATACAGAAGTTAGTAGCAATCAGATATGTTCTCCACTTTTCCAGTGCCCACACGATTGCTAAGCATTCCTTTTCCGTGGTGGAGTATTTCCTCTCGGCACTTGTGAGCAGTCGACTGGCGTACTCGATCACTCCAGACGGTTGTGACAATACTGCGCCAATTCCGACGTCACTGGCATCCACAGCTACGGTGAATCTCTCATGCGGCTTTGGTATTGTCAAACAGTTTCGAGGGTTTGTTGCACTTTCCTTGAGTTTCCTGAACGCCGCCTCCGTATCTGACGTCCACTCGAATTTCTTATCCTTCCTCAGTAGTTGAAACAGGACACCAGCTTTCTGGGCAAAATTTGGCACAAACTTGGCGTCATAGCCGACCAAGCCAAGGAAGGATCTCAGTTGGCGCTTTGATTTTGGCGAGGGGAAACCCCTAATCGTCTCCGCTTTCTCGGGTAGGGGTTGCAGTTTTCCTCCTCCAACAATATGTCCCAAACAAACGATCTTGTCACGCGCTATCTGGCACTTCTTTGCACTCAACTTCAAACCCGCCGATTTGATTCTCTCTAGGACTGCGCTTAATCTGGACACATGCCCGTCAATTGTCCTTGAAAATACCACAATATCATCCCCATACACCACAACACCATCCAGGTTCTCCAGTACCTGGAGCAGCAAACGCCTGAAAGTAGCCGGTGCGTTACACAACCCAAAAGGCATCCGCAGGAACTCATACTGCTTCCCGTTGACACAGAATGCTGTTTTCTCTCTGTCGCTCACGAGCACCGGCAGCTGCCAATAGCCCGACCTCAAGTCGATTAACGACAGCACCTTCGCGTCATGAAGCTGCTCAAATATCTCCTCGGTTAATGGCATTGGGAACGCATCCTTGATTGTGACGCGGTTGAGTTCCCGGAAGTCAACGCAAAATCTATACGTCCCATCCGATTTCCGCGTCAACAACACTGGTGAGGAATACGGGCTAGTGCTTTCCTGAATTATTCCCTTCGACAGCATGTCCCGAACCTGCTTCTCAACTTCCGGTACAACTTTCCGCGGCAGCCTCCGATACACTGGTTTGCACACCGCACCCGGCACCAAATTGATCCTGTGTTCTTGCCAATCGCAAAAGCGGTACTCATCATCTGGTGTCGAAAACAACTCCGCATACCTCTCGAGACACTGTCTGACACACGGGACTGGACAACCTGGAACCGAGGAAGTTTTTACGATACCAACGCGGTTCAGCCGGCCCCGGCGGGATTGCAGCTCGACATCCTTCTCCCCAACCCGCATTCGATGAGCTTCGAAATCATTTTTTGCTCCTACGCGTTCCAACAGATCAACCCCTACGATTGTCTCGGCGACCCCTTCAACCAGTAACATCTCATGCGTCACACGAACGTCGCCGATCTGAACCGTTAGCTGCTGCTTTCCCGCTACTTGCAGAGCCTCTCCTCCGACTGCACGCACTCGTATTTCGCATGGCCTCACTACGATTCCCTCAACGCGAGGTGTCACAGATACCCCAGCCCCCGTATCTACGACTGCAATTTTACGTTCGCCCCCAATTCTGATCTCAACCATAGGCACCCCCCTCGACTTGAATGTAGATAAAGAAAAGCAAGACGAGAAGCGTTTTTCTGGACAAAATCGTGCGAAATGTCCTACCTTGCCACATGCAAAACACCTCCTTCGTGTTCCATGCGTCATTGCGTCATTATTGCGTTGTGTTTGTCGATTGAGTTCCAGTTTTAATTGTGCGATTTCCTCGCTCATCTTCTGCAACGTGGACTCCAAATCCGATTGCTCTAATCGGGAAACTGTCACTTCTTCGTGGGCTGCACGAACAATCATAAACAGGCGTTCTGTATCATTCACGCCGCACGCAATCGCCATTCTCAACCTGCCTTGGACATCCGGGGCCATGCTTTGAACGAAACGATCACGAACAAGGCGTGCCCTAGTTACGCCACTTGCCTCGGGCAGCCCGATCGATAGTTGGCGCAACAGGTACTGATAATGAACGACTGGGTCTTGGGTGCTGTCATAACGAGCCGTACTGAATCGGTCCATTGCTTTCTGCCGATCACCTTCCTGTGTGAACTCCTTCACCAGCCCCGCACGGACCTCCCGATAAGTGGGGCTTGTTTTTCCCCCCATCTTCAGATCATACACCGCCTTGGCACGCCCAGTCAGCAGTGCCCCAAGCGCCGCTAACAAAGGTGTGTCTCCTTTCACTCCGTTGCATGCCGCTATCCTTTCAAAATCCGTGATCCATTCCTCCACATCCCCATCCGCGAACGCAACAGGCCAGGGAAACTTCATCACGTGAGCGTGGTCACGGCACCAATGTAACAAGGACGACAACGCACGGCAGGATACTTGTATTCCCACGGTCACACAAGTCCAGTCATGGCACACATACAGTCGCTTATATAGGCTTTTTTCCAGACTGCGCGGCACCAAGATTGCTATTGTCGCTGCTTGAGCGCTTCGGCTGCATTCTGTCCATTTGCCTGTGGCCGATGGCTTGCTTCTCTTGCCCGTCATTTCCCTTCGGTTGGTCCGACTGTCTCAGTTGACGGCTCGATCGGCAGCCCTTCACCTGAGCTATCTTGCTGGTTGCCGGAGGTCCCGCTGCTTCCTCTCTGGTCGTCTGTGTGCTTCTTTTTGCCTGCTTCGGGACGCCTCTGACATATTCGCCACCTGTTCTCTTGTCTGTGGCCCTTGTTTGGTTCGTTCGTTCGCCTTGATGTTTACGCCGTTCCCTGGCCCCAGCATTCCCTGTTACACTATATCATATAGTGGATTTGTTGAACAAAGCGTTCAGGCCCATATCTGATAGCCTCGTGGTTTGGGTGTTCGACTGACATTCGTTCACCCCAACCCCTGTTCGTGTCCCCGTGTGGGCTCTGTCCATGTGCAATGCTCATGATTCCCTTAGCAGATCAAACAGCTGTACAGTGCTTCCATCATTTTCAATGGTCAGTTCAGTGTTCAAGCTGCATGGAGAATCATATTATACAAATCTACTCTGCTACTGCTCTATTGCATTGTATGAGCAATCTGTGTGGATTGTTCATAAGGGAATGCCTTGGTTTTACTTAGGCCCATAAATAGAGAAGTGATGGAACATAGGATTGGATCTTTGTGCGAGAATTTGGTTGTTACCGTTCAAAGCGGAAGCGAAAGCCGAAGCCAATTTAGGGATTGTGCTATATCATGTAGTGTATATGTTGAATAAAGCGTTGAGACCCATATGGGATAGCCTTGTGGTTTGGGTGTTCGACTGACAATCGTTCACCCCAACCCTTGTTCGTGTCCCCGTGTGGGCTCTGTCCATGTGCAATGCTCATGATTCCCTTAGCGGATCAAACAGCTGTACAGTGCTTCCATCATTTTCAATGGTCAGTTCGGTGTTGAAGCTGCATGGAGAATCATGTTATACAAATCTACTCTGCTACTGATCTACTGCATTGTACGAGCAATCTGTGTGGATTGTTCATAAGGGAATGCCTTGGTTTTACTTAGGCCCATATAAATAGAGAAGTGATGGAACATAGGATTGGATTGGTGTGCGAGAATTTGGTTGTTACCGTTCAAAGCGAAAGCGAAAGCCGAAGCCAATTTGGGGATTGTGCTATATCATGTATTGTATATGTTGAACAAAGCGATGAGACCCATATCGGATAGCCTTGTGGTTTGGGTGTTCGACTGACATTCGTTCACCCCAACCCTTGTTCGTGTCCCCGTGTGGGCTCTGTCCATGTGCAATGCTCATGATTCCCTTAGCAGATCAAACAGCTGTACAGTGCTTCCATCATTTTCAATGGTCAGTTCAGTGTTCAAGCTGCATGGAGAATCATATTATACAAATCTACTCTGCTACTGCTCTATTGCATTGTATGAGCAATCTGTGTGTGGATTGTTCATAAGGGAATGCCTTGGTTTTACTTAGGCCCATAAATAGAGAAGTGATCGAACATAGGATTGGATCGGTGTGCGAGAATTTGGTTGTTACCGTTCAAAGCGAAAGCGAAAGCCGAAGCCAATTTGGGGATTGTGCTATATCATATAGTGGATATGTTGAACAAAGCGATGAGACCCATATGGGATAGCCTTGTGGTTTGGGTGTTCGACTGACATTCGTTCACCCCAACCCTTGTTCGTGTCCTCGTGTGGGCTCTGTCCATGTGCAATGCTCATGATTCCCTTAGCGGATCAAACAGCTGTACAGTGCTTCCATCATTTTCAATGGTCAGTTCAGTGTTCAAGCTGCATGGAGAATCATATTATAGAAATCTACTCTGCTACTGCTCCATTGCATTGTATGAGCAATCTGTGTGGATTGTTCATAAGGGAATGCCTTGGTTTTACTTAGGCCCATAAATAGAGAAGTGATGGAACATAGGATTGGATCGGTGTGCGAGAATTTGGTTGTTACCGTTCAAAGCGAAAGCGAAAGGCGAAGCCAATTTGGGGATTGTGCTATATCATGTAGTGTATATGTTGAATAAAGCGTTGAGACCCATATGGGATAGCCTTGTGGTTTGGGTGTTCGACTGACATTCGTTCACCCCAACCCTTGTTCGTGTCCCCGTGTGGGCTCTGTCCATGTGCAATGCTCATGATTCCCTTAGCGGATCAAACAGCTGTACAGTGCTTCCATCATTTTCAATGGTCAGTTCGGTGTTGAAGCTGCATGGAGAATCATGTTATACAAATCTACTCTGCTACTGATCTATTGCATTGTACGAGCAATCTGTGTGGATTGTTCATAAGGGAATGCCTTGGTTTTACTTAGGCCCATATAAATAGAGAAGTGATGGAACATAGGATTGGATTGGTGTGCGAGAATTTGGTTGTTACCGTTCAAAGCGAAAGCGAAAGCCGAAGCCAATTTGGGGATTGTGCTATATCATGTATTGTATATGTTGAACAAAGCGATGAGATCCATATCGGATAGCCTTGTGGTTTGGGTGTTCGACTGATATTCGTTCACTGCAAACTTGTTCGAGTCCCCGTGTGGGCTCTGTCCATGTGCAATGCTCATGATTCCCTTAGCGGATCAAACAGCTGTACAGTGCTTCCATAATTTTCAATGGTCAGTTCAGTGTTCAAGCTGCATGGAGAATCATATTATACAAATCTACTCTGCTACTGCTCTATTGCATTGTATGAGCAATCTGTGTGGATTGTTCATAAGGGAATGCCTTGGTTTTACTTAGGCCCATATAAGTAGAGAAAAGATGGAACATAGGATTGGATCGGTGTGCGAGAATTTGGTTGTTACCGTTCAAAGCGAAAGCGAATACCGAAGCCAATTTGGGGATTGTGCTAAATCATATAGTGTATATGTTGAACAAAGCGATGAGACCCACATCGCATAGCCTTGTGGTTTGGGTGTTCGACTGACATTCGTTCACCCCAACCCTTGTTCGTGTCCCCGTGTGGGCTCTGTCCATGTGCAATGCTCATGATTCCCTTAGCAGATCAAACAGCTGTACAGTGCTTCCATCATTTTCAATGGTCAGTTCAGTGTTCAAGCTGCATGGAGAATCATATTATACAAATCTACTCTGCTACTGCTCTATTGCATTGTATGAGCAATCTGTGTGTGGATTGTTCATAAGGGAATGCCTTGGTTTTACTTAGGCCCATATAAATAGAGAAAAGATGGAACATAGGATTGGATCGGTGTGCGAGAATTTGGTTGTTACCGTTCAAAGCGAAAGCGAAAGCCGAAGCCAATTTGGGGATTGTGCTATATCATATAGTGGATATGTTGAACAAAGCGATGAGACCCATATGGGATAGCCTTGTGGTTTGGGTGTTCGACTGACATTCGTTCACCCCAACCCTTGTTCGTGTCCTCGTGTGGGCTCTGTCCATGTGCAATGCTCATGATTCCCTTAGCGGATCAAACAGCTGTACAGTGCTTCCATCATTTTCAATGGTCAGTTCAGTGTTCAAGCTGCATGGAGAATCATATTATAGAAATCTACTCTGCTACTGCTCTATTGCATTGTATGAGCAATCTGTGTGGATTGTTCATAAGGGAATGCCTTGGTTTTACTTAGGCCCATAAATAGAGAAGTGATGGAACATAGGATTGGATCGGTGTGCGAGAATTTGGTTGTTACCGTTCAAAGCGAAAGCGAAAGCCGGAGCCGATTTAGGGATTGTGCTATATCATGTAGTGGATATGTTGAATAAAGCGTTGAGACCCATATGGGATAACCTTGTTGTTTGGGTGTTCGACTGACATTCGTTCACCCCAACCCTTGTTCGTGTCCCCGTGTGGGCTCTGTCCATGTGCAATGCTCATGATTCCCTTAGCGGATCAAACAGCTGTACAGTGCTTCCATCATTTTCAATGGTCAGTTCGGTGTTGAAGCTGCATGGAGAATCATGTTATACAAATCTATTCTGCTACTGCTCTATTGCATTGTATGAGCAATCTGTGTGTGGATTGTTCATAAGGGAATGCCTTGGTTTTACTTAGGCCCATATAAATAGAGAAGTGATGGAACATAGGATTGGATTGGTGTGCGAGAATTTGGTTGTTACCGTTCAAAGCGAAAGCGAAAGGCGAAGCCAATTTGGGGATTGTGCTATATCATGTATTGTATATGTTGAACAAAGCGATGAGACCCATATCGGATAGCCTTGTGTTTTGGGTGTTCGACTGATATTCGTTCACTGCAATCTTGTTCGTGTCCCCGTGTGGGCTCTGTCCATGTGCAATGCTCATGATTCCCTTAGCGGATCAAACAGCTGTACAGTGCTTACATAATTGTCAATGGTCAGTTCAGTGTTCAAGCTGCATGGAGAATCATGTTATACAAATCTACTCTGCTACTGCTCTATTGCATTGTATGAGCAATCTGTGTGGATTGTTCATAAGGGAATGCCTTGGTTTTACTTAGGCCCATAAATAGAGAAGTGATAGAACATAGGATTGGATCGGTGTGCGAGAATTTGGTTGTTACCGTTCAAAGCGAAAGCGAAAGCCGAAGCCAATTTGTGGATTGTGCTATATCATGTAGTGTATATGTTGAACAAAGCGTTCAGACCCATATCGGTTAGCCTTGTGGTTTGGGTGTTCGACTGACATTCGTTCACCCCAACCCTTGTTCGTGTCCCCGTGTGGGCTCTGTCCATGTGCAATGCTCATGATTCCCTTAGCAGATCAAACAGCTGTACAGTGCTTCCATCATTTTCAATGGTCAGTTCAGTGTTCAAGCTGCATGGAGAATCATATTATACAAATCTACTCTGCTACTGCTCTATTGCATTGTATGAGCAATCTGTGTGGATTGTTC